AAAGGTCCACAGAAGGGAAATGAAGACTTTTTTACAGGCACAATGAGACAGAGAGAAAAAGAGGTGACACAAACTAGAATTATTGAGCCTGGAAAGAAGCATTAGAGAGATAGTTCAGTGGTTTGAGCATCGGCCTGCTAAACCCAGGGTTGTGAGTTCAATCCTTGAGGGGGCTATTTAGGGATCTGGGGCAAAAATCTGGGGATTGGTCCTGCTTTGAGCAGGGGATTGGACTAGATCTCCTGCTGAGGTCCTTTCCAACCTTGAGATTCTATGATCAGATATTAGTCATTTCTAGAAGCAGGATGCTTGACTGGATATACCCAAGTGCTTCTTCTGTCTGGCAAATCCTATGTTCTTATAATGACAAATATTAATTATTAGTTGATAATCCTGGTTTTTAATGTAAAATTGTACAAATATAATTAAAATATAATCTAGGGGTTAGTTACATTGGTATTCATAGTAACTCCACTGTCTTTAATGGAGGTACTCTAGATTTATATTGCTGTAAATGAGAATCAAGCCTTGAGTGAATACCTGATTTGTTTCTTAGATTACATGTGTCGATTTACTCCATCCTTCTCTTACCCTTAACTTTTAAAGTTATTTTTATGTTAGCAATGATACCACATGCTTTGTGTGAGTTTTGGCTCTGATCTCTTTGGAGAAACTACTTGTACAGGAAATGGGACTGTCTTTTGAGATTAATTTTAAAATTATGATGCTGCATATGTAATTTTTAAAGATACAGTAAAACCAAAATATTAATATTGAGATATTCAGTATTCTTATCATCTGTGCAAGGATTTACATCTGCAATTTCCCCACATGTTAAGACCAATGTACCCAAAAGTCTTTTAGCAAATTCACTTGTGCACATAAAAATGTAGATAAACTATTTTTTTGGTTTGTCCAAAATTGACTGGTTGGCTCACATGTATGTTATAGGATTGTATAATAGCAAGTTGAATTATGATGTTCCAATCAATTACACTTATAAGCTTTTATAAAAAGAAACACCCATTCTGGTCATCATTCAGGCTTTTGTTTACATAATTTACTCAACTGTGCTTTTTTTGGACTTCTTAACGCAAGTGTGTGTATTTTGAAATGGTAAAGTAAAATATGAATCATGTTAGTAATTCAACACCTAAATTTTAAAGTGACTAGCATTTTTGGATGCCTGGATTTTTTAATGTACAAGTTGACACTTCTTAAAGGGGCCTAATTTTCACAAGTGCTGAGCACCTGCCCTCTGAAAATCAGGCCCCTTTAAGATCCAGATTAGGTACCCAAAATCATTAGTTACTTTTGAAACTTTAGGCCCAACTGTGTAAAGTGCATCTTATACAGAGACTATGCACAGTAGTAGAAAAAAAGATCTAGGGTAAAATTTTCAAAAGTGCATAAGTGGTTTAGAAATCTGTGTCCCATTTACAGAACTGACATAGGCACTTGGGAACCTAAATCCCACTAAGCTCCTAAATTCCTAAATCCATTTTGAAAATAGGATTTAGGCTCCTAAGTCAGTTAGACTAGGGATAAAATTTTCAAAAGTGCCTATCTTTCCTATATAGATAAGCTATTTAAATGCTTTCTTTGGTTACCCATCAAATATCTACACCAAATATGTTATGACATATGATACCAATATATTTGATGTAGCATTAAATATTAAAAAACAGCAACTTTTGAATGAAACTTCACTTGTTTCTTGTAACAGTGAAAATGCTATAGTGTCATAAATGAGAGGAAATAGTGCTGTTGGAGAATGCTCAGTTGGTGGGCTGTAGAGAAAGAGAGGCTCCTATTTGCAATTAAGATAATTGATGGTAGAGGGAGCATTTTGTATGGAGAAGGTGAGCTGTAGTATTTCACCCTCTCGAGACTGAATTATTGTAACTCCTACGACCTAGATTTGTCAGGCAAAGCCCATCACACTCTAGTCCATCTTGAATACAAACAGTCCTCCACCACTTGAACATGACTAGCAGTGATGATACAAGAGTAGATAGCGAGGCTTGGCAGAATTTGATTTTTTTTAATGTTTCTTTTTAAGTGTGATTTTTTTTTATTTTTACCAATTTTTAGATTTTCACGGTTGCGGTAAATTGAGGGGTCAGGCAATAATTGTTTAATCACAGTAGATGTTGAGATTCAAAATTTTACAGCTTTATAACAGTCAAAATTCAAATGTCAAAATATACAAAGTAAATAGCCTGACCTCAAACTCTGTGTTTTCAAGCTGCATTTTTCTTACTTTGCCTATCTACATTTCTTTATTATTGGTGGAAATATTTTTTGTCTGTTTGTTTGTGTTTGTGTGATGAAATCAACATTTACCAATAAAAAGCTAATCCAAAACTGTACGCCAGTTTCTGACTCCTTGTTTGCTTCTTATTCAATTAAATTCAGGGTCTTAGTCCTAATCTTTAAGATTGGGCCTAGGCTACCTGATTGCTGAACTCACTGACCACGCAGCAACCAGAAATGCCTCTGTTGAAAGACTTGGGAGCTGGAGGCAGGGCATTTTCAATGCTGGTCCAATCCTAGTCTATGGAATACTGAATCAGAAGATGGTCTAATTGGACTGTTTTCAAAGCTCAGTGCAAAACTTTTTTGAGCAGAAGCTCACCTGCAATAACAGAAGTTGAAGAATTATGTTGGAGGGGGCAGAGAAGGAGAAAGAAAGACTAATACAGGGAGAAAGATCCAAGTGTAAGGGGATAAACTATAGGATGGCAAGGGTAGAGACCATATCAGATAATATTTATGCTTATCTTAATATTGCATTTGGAGCTTAGATACTGTAGTGCTTAGCATCTGATAAATACACCATAGACAGATCTGTCACATAGCAAATACTGTTCTTGTATGAATACAGTTCTCGCTGTAGCTGCTATTTCTGAAGAGAGTTGACCTGTACTATTTGTGAAACAACATACTGACTGAACAACAGACAATAAAGTTCTTGGCACAAGATAAGAGTCTTACAGTAGATAGATTATGACTGATAGAATTCTGTGTGTGTATAAATTATTCAAAATATTTCAAACAAGTTGTATACAAGTTAATACTTCGTAAATGTATTTGCTAAAAGAGACAAAAAGTTGCACTATTTGAAAGTTCATTTGGACTTGACTAGCAAAACAAAATTACTAATAAAATACTGAACTAAACTAAAATATTTTTGTGTTCTTTAAAAATACACTTACCATAACCTGCAGTGAAAAATAATATATCATTTAATCAGGGGTGAAAGTAACTTAAAGAACTTAGCAGTACGCAGGGCCAGGGTCCTGAGCAGGGGACGGGGCCTCAACCGGAAGGGGATGGGGCCTCAACTGGAAGAGGCGGGAACTTTAAATCCAGCAGCGGGGCTCTGGCACCGATTTAAAGGGCTTGGGGCTCCGCTGCAGTAGCAGTGGCGGGGAGCCCCAGGCCCTTTAAATCACCACTGGAGCCCAAGGGCTTCTGGCCACCGCCGCTAACCTGGGGCTCCAGCAGTTGGGCTATGGTGCCAATTTAAAGGGTCTGGGGCACCAGCTGCTGCTGCCCGGACCCCAGGGCCCTTTTAAATTGCCGGCCTGGGGAAGCTGCCCCCTGCCGGTACGGTCAGCTGTGTACCTGCTCTTGTCGGTACGCCATACCATACCGTACCAACTTACTTTCACCTCTGCATTTAATGGAACTTTGTGTTTGAGCAAAAATTTTATTTTACAAAAGGTATATGTGTTTTTAATTGAGTTTATATCTATATACAGTAACTCCTCAATTAATATTGTAGTTATGTTCCTGAAAAATGCGACTTTAAGCGAAACTATGTTAAGCGAATCCAGTTTCCCCATAAGAATGAATGTAAATAGGGAGGCTTAGGTTCCAGGGAAATTTTTTTTTTGCCAGACAAAAGGCATTATATACATTTTAAACAATTTTAAACAAGCAATTTAATACAGGTATTAAACAGGCTGGCAGCCCCCTTATTCTCCCCCTCCCCCCACGCCTCCCACCCGCCCAAGGACCCCATAGATCAGCGCCTTCCCCCTGCTCCCCCCACCTCCTGCCCGCGGTAATCAGCTGTCTTGCAGCATTCAGGAGGCTGGGGGGAGAAGCAAGGTTGTGGCACGCAGCCTCCCCGCTCCCTCTCCTGCCCGCGGCAATCAGCTGGTTTGCGGCATTCAGGAGGCAGGGGAGGGAGGAGGAGCCTGGGCGCTGCGTCCTCGCTCCTCCCTGCTCCCCCCAGCCTCCTGAACGCCACAAACCATCTGATTGCTGCAGGCAGGAGGCGGGGGGAACTGGGGGAAGACGCTGAACCACGGGGTCCGCCAGCGGGCGGGAGGTGCTGGGGTGCGGGGAGTAGGGGAGCTGATGGGGGACTGCCAGCCGTGGACAAAGCAGGCGGCCAAACGACGTTCTAGCGGAGCATTGCACAACTTTAAACAAGCATGTTCTGTAATGGAGCAGGGACGTAAGATCGAAACAACGTTAAGCGAGAGGACGTTAAGTTCAGAGATAGATATAAAATCAATTAAGAGTGCATATATCATTTTTTCAAATAAAATGTATTTTATATTGCCTCGTGATTTGCAGGATTTGTTCTCTGCTTAATCTCCAGTATTAGGGCTGGTCCACACTAACCCCCCACTTCTAACTAAGATACGCAACTTCAGCTACGTTTTTCACGTAGCTGAAGTCGAACTATCTTAGTTCGAACTTACCGCGGGTCCACACGCGACAGGCAGGCTCCCCCGTCGACTCCGCGTACTCCTGAATGTTAGAAATGGTAATCTTAACTCTGAAGCTTTTTTTTTGTTTTTGTTTTTTTTAAGTTTCTGTTCTATATTGTAGTGTAGCCACTTGTACTTATATGGAATACGTGTCTTGCAGAATATGTGTTTGTATTCAATATTGCATTATATTGGTTTGTTTCCTAACAAAATTCTTTAAAAAATCTTAACTACGAAATATATCTAAATCTATCTTATTGTTCCATTAAGGTCCTGGTATTGACAACAGGACATCTTCACCACTGGATAATTCTTTTCCATGGGACGATTCAATCTTCAATATATCCATACATGCTGCAATTCGACATGGAAAGTGGAAACTACTAACTGGGTATCCAGGTAATGAAATGATTATTTTTTCCCTAGAGGTTTACCTCCACTGCCAGTTCATCCCATTTCATATGTAATAAACTTTGCATTTCCATAATTTACTCTCTTTCTCAACTTCCATGATTTACCATGTAATGTAAAAACCAGGAGGGCGGAGCCTCATTTAAAAGTAGGAAAATATTTACAATATATTCCTTGAAGTCATGGTTTTTGAATCTGTGTTTATGTGCTTACATTGCAGTGGAAAAAACGGATTCCTGGAGGCAACTCCAGTTTAATTTATTTGAAATTAAACAAGTCATATTAAACACCGAATCCCAAGTATGAGGCTACTCTTTCCCTGTGTGTCTGAGATCTAATTTCTTATCTGCTCCTATTTCTGTAGGCTGCAGCCACTGGTTCCCACCACCACCTTTGTTCAGTGAGTCAAAGATTCTATCATCTGACCCACCAACAAAGAAACTTTGGCTTTTTGATGTTGTTAAAGATGCTGAGGAGAGAAACGACTTGTCTGAAAAATATCCTGGCGTTGTGAAAAAACTGCTCTCCCGGCTGCAGTACTACTATAAACACTCGGTGCCTGTGTTCTACCCTGACGATGACCCCCGTTGTGACCCAGCAGCAACTGGAGCCTGGGGGCCTTGGATGTAGAATACTACATTTGTAGCCTGAAAAATACAACTGTGGTGGAAATTGCGGACTGAGGGTCCTAGTCACATATTTTGACCTCATTTCTTTTACCCTTTTAACTGTGATTTCATCCCTTGGGTTATTCAATTCTACTTCTTCTTAAGCAGTATTGAGGATCTAATTTCACCCCCGATTGTACTAGAAACACTGTTAAAATAATAAATCTGTCATTTTGATGTTCTTTGTCAGTGATAAGTCTCTAAAATGGAGGGTTAAAGCTGCTGGCCAGCTGGGAAATATTACTTCACTTGGAAAGTTCTAATGAGTCACAGAGGCAAGGCTATCCAGTTCTTTCATATTTAAAGTCAAATGTTTGATTTCATGCTTGCCAGTGGCCAAATCTTATAGGAGGCTAACACAGAGGTTTAAAAAAAAAAATAGGAGAAAGAAGCCAGTTTCTGAGTTCAGCTGTCATTACATTTTCTCAGCTTTGCCATACAAATGTGTCCAGTAATGGATGCATTCAGAAGTCTCTAAGTACAAGCCTCCTCCCACTGGGCAACAAAAGATCTAGCAATACACTTGTCCACTGTTGACATATGGTTAGAGCATTGGTTTGATTTAATGCCCACCTTGGCTGTGAGTACCAACTCTTTAGGGCTTTTGTGCCTTTGTTATCACAGCAGAGACTGCCTTCATCTAATAGTCAGCTTTCGGACATCCCTTCATTTTGCATTGCCTTTTCTAGTTCATTTCTTTCTTGTGCTTCACAGTGCAGTTTTGAATTCTTGTGCAGGAGATTCAAGCACTTTTCTTTGCCAGCTAAAGCACAATGTGGAGGTTGCAAGTGATGGTAGTACTGCTTCATCTATCTGGTGGCTATTGCATCTGCTTCACAAAGCGCCCACCTTCTGCTAATATCTCTGGAAAACCTTTTCTATTCCCTTCTCTAAGGACATTGCCAGTTATCTGTTTTGTACTGATGTAATGTTTCAAACTGGTTTTTTAGAGACTACTTTTAACTTTTCCATTAAAATTAGAGTTTTAATTTTTAGGTTCTAAGTTTTTTTGTTGAGCTGAATGATGTTTCTTTACTAGTGTGAATATCTAAAAGAATTAAGAGAGGAGAGGAAAAGTATTGCTGTACCCCATATATTTTATTTTTTAGCTGTGTTGGTCCCAGGATATTAGAGAGACAAGGTGGGTGAGGCAATATATTTTATTGGACCAACTTCTGTTGGTGAACGAGACAAGCTTTCGAGTTCTGTGTAAGCTCAGAAGCTTGTCTCTTCATAAACAGCAGTTGGTCCAATAAAAGACATTACCTCACCCACCTTGTTTCTCTAGTTTTTAGAGATATTATTTCCATTTGTTATAATTCATTAATTATACATCTTGGGAAAGAAATAAAATACTTATTAAAAGAAGACTCTGATTGGCTAGCAAAGGTTCCACCTATTTGGCCCTTATTTCCACATTTCAGTCAGGGCTCGTTAGAGAGTTTATCCTTCTGGAGATCATAACACCTCGTTAACAGAACACAAGAAAAAGAATCTAAGGTATTTTCATTATTATCACTTTTAAGGTTTTTTTTTCAAAGATATCCTTAGGACTCTGACTACAAAAGTGTGTAAGACTAAAAAACTCACTACTTTCAGCTCTCAGACAACAGCCACTTTTGAAATGTACAGATGTCATCCTGACAGCTTTTGAGCTGACTGCAGGGCTGCCATTCACACTCAAGTTACTATGAAAATAGATGATGAATTAATGGGGGAAAAAAACTAAGTTGTTTGAACTTTCTTATCAGTTATGCTATCTAGCCCCTAGTTTAAAAGGATTAAAGAATGTATAGCCTTAGTTGCAGAATTAAATATAATTGTTGCATGTTTGTTCTCCTTCCCTCCCTATCCCACAATCTACACCATTACATCATGCTGATATGACTCCACCTATCAGGAAGAAGGGGGTAAGCAACTGTCAGTCACTCAGCCTTCCTTAGATTGAGGCTTCACCTATTGTCTTCTCTGTTTCCCATCTAAAATTTCTATTATATTTTAAAATCTTAAAATTCATCATTTACTTAGCTGTTGTTTCAGATAAAAATATCCTACACTATTTTTTCTTTAGGTTGATTCCTCTTAAAGCCTTCAAGTTGACCTGACTTTGGTGGGGGGGAAGCTGGCTGTCATATTCAAGCTGGCAGCAGCAAAGGAAAAGAATTTTAAACTCTCCATTGAGCTGTTTCATTTCTTGAAGGGCAGACTTCTTTCTACAAGTTGCGGTTTCTTGAGTAACAATCAAAAATACAAGCATCATGAGCCTTCAGAATGAAACTTCATTTCATCGCCTTCCAAGCCTTCCAATCCTTGCTGGATCCAACAAAACTCTATAAATGTTTCAAAATTGAAAGGAGCTTTTTTTGACACACTAAAAATAATTATAACATTTTAGAAAAGCAATTGCACTTCAGGAAGTGTGGTTATGCTGGCTACCCACAATTATGCATTGCTACTTACTTAAAAAGATACAAGATGAAGGATGGGCAAGGCCCAGGACAAGGAAAAGAACTCGGGAGATCTGGATCCTATTCTTGCGTCTATGGTCACAGGCTCCTCTGGGAACAACCTGCTTAGAGTAGAAGAAATTCTGAGATTTTTTTTTTAATGGACTTTTCTAGGAATTCTTTAAATAGGGCTGGAAGGAAGCTTTTTATTTACTTCTCAAAATCTCATCGCAGAAAAAGCTAGGATTTTAGCCATCAAGATCTTCATAGATTTGGACATCCACCAGCAATCCTTGTTGCCTCAATTCTGTCCCTGGGATTCTCTGCTCCCTATCTTGCTCCTTGGTAGTACAGCTCCATAGAAGTCATGCTACCATGGATGCTTCCACTCGTTACTCTCCTCAAAACTCTCCCACTCTGTCCTTTATTGGGGGACCTACCAGCATTTGAGGTTTATTAAGAGAATCCTGTTGCACCAGTGCAACCCCATTCCAGGCTTGTCTTTAAGAGTACCTGCAGGGTACTCTTCCCAGGACAGGAAAGAGGGGACATTATCACTGAAGGGGAGTAAGTGATCTCAGGAAAGGAATCTGGGAGAGCTGCAGAGTAGGATATGTAGGTCATTTAGGCAGTCATGGCAGCCATGTTTGTAGTCCTGGATATTGGCAAAGCCACCTGGGAAATAGGTGTGCGTGTATATAAACATCATCCTTCTCACAGACCAGAGAGACTTGGAAGGAGCTGGGCTCCTAAGGCAAAACAACAACAAAAAAGACCTAAATGAAAATGACACTACATGGCACAAAGAGAAACTGTATAGGACTGTGTGGATATCTATCTTGAAATGAGATATAGTCTGGAATAGAAACGTACTGCCTTGTGAATTGAAAGAGTTTTATGGAAAGAAAAAGCAAGTTGCATTGTTTGGGAAGTGCTGATCAGTCCTTTTTTTTGCAAACAGTTTTCAAACTGACTGTACATATCAAAACTACCGCTCTATCAACTTATTGCAAACAGTTCACATGGAATGCTGCAAACATTCAATGGAATTTATAATAAGAGATACAGATTTGGATATCATATGTTCAAAGTTATATTTGGAGATATTGCTTATATAGTTTAGAGAGGAAATTGGGCCCCCAAAATACATTGCATCCCCTCTGTCTGGTGCTTCTAGATGTAATCTTGCACTGCTACACAATGCATATCTGAGATCATGCAGACAGATTAGCACTGCTACAGAGCACAGCAAAAAAGATTTTGGCACAGGATAATCAAAACGATTCAGTTATCCAATCATAGACTAGTACAGTAACAGCATCTGTGATAATTACATACTGTGGTTAGCTGAAGCCAACAAGATGATGCATTGTTGTCATTGTGCTGGTCTTCCCTGCTGCCACTGTTCTAAAAACTGAACATCTGCTGCAATCAACAAACCAACTCCCAATTGCTGGTCCCTTTCTTTTGGCTGAACTCAATGGCAACAAAAGCTGCTATATTTTGTCTTCAGAGCTATACTTAGAAGCAGTACAGTTAAAAAGAATCACTGGATTTGGTTCTAGGGAACAGAGTGCTCCTATGGCCCTGTCTTCAAATCCATAACAAGCTACTGCAGCAAAGCCACAGTTCTGTGCTGACAAATTCTGGCATCCCGGACAGTGGTAAAAATACAGAATTGGGTTTTGTTATAGTGCTTTTCATTCTCAAGATTTTGTGAAGTGCTGTGTAAAGCAATGAGTTAGAGTTCAGTGACTGTGCAAACAAACTAAGCAGGTGTAGTGGTAACTCACCTACAGTCTTGGGCATAGATCCTATTTTAATGAGAGAAGGAACTTTGGCTAGGAGACCAAAAAGTATCATGGGATTTTAATTTCTTCCTGGAATGCCACTTGAAAATTAGCATTAGAGTACTGAGTTAATGTCTCATCGAAATGATGGTCCTTCAAAAAGTGAAGCATTCACTCCAAATACAATATACACCTCTTACTACTGGGGGAATTCTGCGCTGAAAAATTAAAAATTCTGTGGACAATATTTTAAAATTCTGCATATTTTATTTTTCAAAATAACAATATAATTATGCCAGTTTCAATTATTTTGGTAATTTATTTCAAAACGCCTGCCAGCAAGTATGTGTCTAACAATACAGACAAAAAAAGATGTAGAAAATGTTTTTTGACAAATAGATTCCTTACTAGGCATATTACTACAGACCTTTGAAAAATAATCCATTTAAGCTACAATACAGAAATGTATTTCCTGCGCCCCTCAGAAGTAGTGCAAAGGCTTGAGGGAGTCAGGGTAATGGAGGAACTGAGGGAGAGGGAAATAATTGCTGGGAACATATAAGCCAGTTGAGAAGACACAACCTTTGGCTGAGTAAAATACTGAAGTTTATATAATGTCAAAGCAAGTTTAATTAAAACCATCCCAACTGGATTTTCTTTGAATGAAATTGGAGGAAACTGAATGGTAAGATATTGACAATTGTATTTTTTCTTTTATATGTGCAGTAGAAACAAGTGCTCCCTGAAGGAACATTTACAGGATTGAATGGTTGGTTGAGAGATTGTGTCTCTTAGTGGCAACCAAGTGTACAGTGTCTCGGAAATTTCTCTGATATATAATTTCTGGTTAAAGAAGAGATCTTTTCTACATTTCCTCTGTCTAAAACACATGGGGCATTGATCTCTCACTGTACTTTTGATGCTGTTTATGGAGAATTTT